ATCTCATATCAAATAAAGATAAAAACATAAATCAATTTATAAAGATTTGGGTCATTTCTCTTAATAAGGTTGATCTTTTAAGATGAACATCCAAATCTTAACAGGGTGATGATTTTTCAATTGTTCTTTTATAATTTAATTTTAAACATGTTAGGCTAGTTTTTCAATTATATCGGATGAGTATTTGAGCCCTATATTTATTTATATCAATCCAAGACGTTAATTTAGAAAGTTCTTGTGTTTGATTGATTTTACATATGCATTGTACTATTTGGGTGTTTGACAATTAATTAAATAGTTAGTTGTTTGTTGCAGTGTAGTTATACTCACAAAAAGTTTTGAACACGGTAAAATCAATATGTATAATTAGAATTAGGAATAATCATTTTCACATATGTAATCTTGTTGATAATCTAAATTAGATGCACGACTTTGATATGAATTCGGACTAGAATATGATTATCTCGTGTTAGTCGTAGGTTAGTGTATCTTGGGAAAAAGCATTTAGCATATTAACTTTATTGGTTGTAAAAAAATGCATGAATAGTTTAATTATTGAGTTGAATAGATGGAAATAGAGGGATACATGAATCAAATATAAGTATTCACATATATAAAATATCATATTTACTTGCTTTCTTACAGTAAAAATTAGTATAAATTACAAAATCCAATTCTTTTTTGATGTTACTGCACTTCAAAATTGATGAAAACTATTGAACTACAAAGTAAACCTTGTTCCTCGTGGTAAAGATACTCTTGACTCACAAATCTTATTATATGTACAACGATTCCGTATGTATACGGGTTTATTTCGAACAATTGTCACCCATATTTAAGTCATATAAATGTCACTAAAAATTGCTAGGCAAGGAAAAAAAAAACTCATTATAATTCATTTTTAAAGAATTCGAAATTGGTTATGTATCGTTTTTATTTTAAACTACCTGCTTCATATGAGAGTTTCAAGAATATTGCCACCCATATTTAAGTCATATAAATGTCACTAAAAATTGCTAGGCAAGGAAAAAAAAAACTCATTATAATTCATTTTTAAAGAATTCGAAATTGGTTATGTATCGTTTTTATTTTAAACTACCTGCTTCATATGAGAGTTTCAAGAATATTGCCACCCATATTTAAGTCATATAAATGTCACTAAACATTGCTAGACAAGGAGAAGAAACTAATTAAATTTCATTTTTAAAGCATTCGAAATTGGTTAAATAAAATAAAGTCAAGCCCAATCAACAATGCTCGATGAATGCAAGAACAATAGTTTAAATGATTAGCTTGTTTGGGTGTAAGTGTAATAGGATTACAATGAAAGAAATAGCGAGTTTTATGAAATGTGTGAATAGTATGTAAATAGTAATCGTAAACATGTGATTAACATTAATTTTTGACTTTTATAGCAAGGAATTGTAATACTTTCCAAACATTAGTTGTATTTATTTATTAAGTGTTTGGTACATAACACCATATACAAATTAATTTTAAAAAATTGTCACCTAAGCAAAAATATATGATATCTGAAAAAATAATCTCCAATGCATTGTTACATGGTCTCTATTGGATGAGGAGACTCTATTATACATGTTGACTTTGCAATTATTGAAGCAATAAAAAGAAATATAGGATATAGAACTGAAGATTTTGTTTGCGTGTTTAGACTATTAAATTTTATCCCTCTACTTCAAAAATTATAATGTTTTCCAAACATAAGTCGTTAAATTCATCATTAAGTAATTATTACACAAAATTAGATACAATTGTGTTCTAAAAACTTGTCACATAGAAAAAATAGGTGATGTCTGAAAAAATAAATTCCAATGCAATGTGACAGAGTCTCTATTAAAATGACGTACATGAAAGAACAGACATTGTCTAAAATTATGCTAAAATTTGAGATTCTACTCGATATGCTGAGTTGGCAATGACGTAAGGTTGTGGAGACTGAAGAATGAAAAGAAGAAAATGGATACTATTGGAAATGGTCAATTATCGTTCAAGTAAATCTGAGAAAATTCAAAATAATTGACTTATTTGTTTATTCAAAGTATCTAAATTATGAAGCCAGAAAGAGTAGAATATTTTTGTAAACGTCCTGAAAAGTCATGTGGGATTGTATTTTATTGTTATATATATATATATAATACATTGTTTTATATAGGTACATGCCTTTGGGTATTGCTCCAATATATACACCAAAAATGAAATAAAAGAAAAATTGGATTTTGGAACCATAATCTTTATTCTACGATACCAAAGAATTCAGGAGCTAGGGTGATAAATAGGTTTATATTAGCCAGGTTGTAATTTCATCACTTGGGAAATTAATTCATACACTGAAAAAAAAAATATTTATAATATGAAAATCGTAATAACAATAACTGTTAAACCTAATGGTGATAGAAACAAAAAATTCCATGTTTTAAATAAGCTATATTAATCGGTCATAGACCAACCGATATTTTCGTGCGTTTCACCGTTGGCAAATTCCTAATAAAATATTTTGGAGACCTAATTAGAAATGGAAAAGGCAATGATAATTTTTTTTTCCGTCAAGTAAAGTGGTAATGAATCTTATGATCCACAATAATCTCCTACTATCTAGACGGCTATAAATATAACCAAACCGGGTTGCAATGTGTATCCCTAGCCAGAATCACATGCTTCACTTTTCACAGTGTATAAGTTCTTGTTGTGTTACTTATTGAATATATTGATACTGTTACTAGTATTATCTTGACTATATTCTTTATAATTATGTGCAAGAAAGTATAACTACTTATTTTATTTAGTTTTAGAGCATGTTTAGGAGAAATGACATATTAAGTATAGACGCTTAATTTATGCTAAATACCTATGACATTACATCAAACTATTGATAGATAAATTTATAATGAGTTTTAATATTTGAATTATATTTGTTATTTATCATGTATCATGTTATCGGGCTTAGTAGATTATTTCTTTATGTTTGGATATGCATTTGAAAAGGTATAAATACTTAAAAGGAAAAGTATGTGTAGGGCCAAGTTCTAGCAAATACTAAGGTAAACTGGGCTCAGTTTTGCCAAATAGATCGACACCACCAACGGGTTGAGACAACACCCAAAACCACCACCTATATTCCCACCTCCAGTTGCTACAATATACTCACAAAGAGTTGGACAAGATGAAGAACAATAATATTCCCATAAGAAACCACAAAGGTCATATGGAAGAGGAGAAGCCGAGAAGCAGTCACAGAGAGAGATGAAACATTCTTCATTGTAGAGGCCGAGAGAGAGGCTGATAATATAAGCCAAGCAAGTGACCAAAAAAGGTAAGTTAGGTTAGGTTTATTTAATGGACCAAACAAGACTCGACTCAAAATAATGGGCTTCAAATTAATACCATAGCCCTCTAAGGAAATGGGACGACCCGTGAGCAACACTATTAATAATAGGTTGCTTCTAACGATCCATAGAAATGTGGATTGGGATTGTCTCGATAATTGTGTCAACATATAAATCAATCATATGGCCAAGGCCGATTGATGATAGATAAAATCGGGGTTACATCATAGCTCGAGGATCGTTTGACAACAAATTACCTAACAGTATGTAAAAGCTTGTCGTTAAACAGATAAAGAATAAATGGATTTAGAGAACTCTTTTGACTTGATTTCATGACCATAGCTATGTACTACTTTGTTATGATTGGATTTCAATCATCTCATTTGAAAACTAATTGGTATCTTGTGAGGATAAGCTATACCTTTTATGATAGTCTACCATCATTTGAGTGATACAATTACTAGACTTAAAAGCAGTCGTGTTGCACCCCAAGATATTCACTAAATGCGTAAATGAGCATAGTCTATATTCACTACATATCTTAAATCTAAATGGGAAGAATTATATTTAATATTTGCAAGGTTAAATTTCCAAAATTAGCTACGAGATATTTGTTCTTGAGTTTATATTTAACATCTGATTTTTGTTGACTCCTCAATAAAATTTTGACACATCACTACAATTTTGTTGTTTTAAAGGACCTACTAAACTTCATTTTAATTCTTTGATCTATGAATGGAGGATACAGTTCTCTATAAGAGATATTCATTATAATATCTTGAGTATAATTAAATTAATTCTATTCACACTTTATTTTAAGTAATAGAAAGCCAATATTGATTTGAAATCCTGTATATAATATTTTTTGAGCATTTGAAAGTTTGGTTTCAAAATATTGACGTTGAATTCTATTGTTGTTGCAATTCCATACGCTTCCCATTTTTCGTGCCCTAGGCTAATTCTCTTCCTTCCACTAGGTCTTGCCTCCATAAAGTGGAGAAAGAAACCGAAAAAGGTCTCTAATTTCTGATTTTCTTAAATCTACTTAGTTTGTATAAAATATGATAGATAGAATTATTTGAAAGTTATAGATGAGTTGATATGTTTTTTTTTCTGTAATTAATCTCTCATTCATAAATTTAAAATATAACTCCTTGGACAATTGGATGAACCCTAAAAAGGCTATTACGTACGCACTTACATAAATATTTAATCGCCTTTAGCCACCTAAGGCGACCTGTTGATGTTGAAGTGTCTTCCAACTGCAGCAGCCATTTCTTAATCCTCGAACACAATACGACAATCTTTAGTGGGTGAGTATAGCCATTTTTCATTGTTCTCTATATGATAAAAATGACAGATCAGACAAAAATTAAAAAACACATCTGAAAAGAACTCTTTATCCACCAAAATCTATTGTTTTGAATTTCAAATTCTTTGTAAAACATTGGAAAACTAGGTGTATACACTGAATTGCCATTTTTAGGGCTCAAAACAAGCAATTTTATAATTTTAATTTGCCTTTAGCCAAGATAGATTCTTGTCAAGGACTGTCATTGTTGAACAAATTCCTACCGTCAATTATGACCTGATAAACTTTTTGACCTCTTATATAACTATATATACATATATACACACATACACACACATAGTCATACATTAATATTTCTCTATCTCAATCACCAAATTTGAACCCACATTTGGTTATTGACACTAAATATATGGAAGACCACAAGGAGCAGAAAGAAGTAAAATATCGCGGCATTCGCAGGAGGCCATGGGGGAAATACGCGGCTGAAATACGTGATCCGAAAAGAAATGGCGCACGTTTGTGGCTAGGCACGTTCGACACGGCAGAAGAGGCTGCAAGGGCATATGATAAAGCTGCATATGCTTTGAGGGGTCATCAAGCAATTCTTAACTTTCCAAACGATGACCATTATAGAAGTGCAGGCCTGCCTCCATCTATTAGTTATTCGTCGTCTTCTTCATCTTCATCTTCATCTACATCTTCATCAGCTCCTCTTTGTGATGAGAATTTAGCGGTGGAGGGATCGTCCAAAGGGCACGGCGAACAGGTAATATTCGAGTTTGAATATTTGGATAATAAGCTGCTGGAGGATCTTCTTGACAGACACAAGTAAAGAGAGAAACAGAAAAAGAAATGTTCAAATTGTGGATGACTGGTTTGAATTCGTTTGAATTTTCAAGTAAAAAATGAAAGGCAAAAAGTTCGTAGATTTATGTTCTAATGGGATAATCCAAATTTGTGTTGGGGAGAGATGCAAACAAATAGCAGAATAATCTTGTACCAAAAACAAATAAGTAAAAGGCCCTTTTTGACAATTGTATATGCCAAAAATATTCTAAAGAAAATTAATCAACTCAAACCACAAGATCACAAGTAATTATTTTACGTGAAAAATTTTTCCCGATGTCAGGAATAAAAACCACGGGACCCATTCCAATCAAAACCTCCACTATCGATCAAATAATGGGTAACCAAAATTTCTCCAGTCACAACTAAAGGCTACAATATATATCTCTTCAAGATAACGACAATCTCATCAAAACAATATAAAAATAAGAAAAATATACCCAAAAAATTATGGTTATTGTTCACGAACATTAAACAATGTTCGTGAACTTAAAATTCGATCTCCACCGTTTAGATTATAGCTCTATGTCTTGTGAACCTCTCATCCAAATTTCAGCTTAAATGGACCACGGACGACCTAGGATTGAAGCTTTGATGAATTTGTGCACAGGGGAAAAAACAGTTTTTCCTCGCTTTTCAAAAACGGGTTGGATTCCTGTTTTCTTCAATCTTCTTGTATTTATATTCATCATTAATGTTAAAACCTTAATGGACTTTGGGCTATAATATAAAATCCCAAACATGAGATTTTCTGAGAGGAAATAACCCAACAATTTGAAATTTTCATTTGTTCTTAAATTTCCTTTCAAAGTTTGTGCATAAAATTCCCTTTTTATCTTTTTCAGATTTTCCTCGTTTTCTTTTCACTTCTTGCACTGCCACGGGATCGTCAATGTTTAATTGTTTAGGGCATTTCTTGCACCAAATCACCAAAATACACCAATTTTTGGTGCAAAACCTCTCCAATGTGGCACCAAACTAATTGATGGATGATATTTGTGTCATTTATTTTTAATACAATTAATTTTTACTATAATAATAATAATAATAATAATAATAATAATAATAATAATAATAATAAAAATTAAATTTTAACAATTTAAAAAATAATTTTTTATATTTATTAATGAATTTAATATTTTCGTTAATTTACTGTGATTATTTATTTAGTAATTTATGTATTTGTAAAATAAATAAAGAAATAATTTTTAAAATAAATAAATTATTTAGAAAAAAAATGATTAAACACTGTTCATTTGATGTAATAATAGGAGATGATTTTTTAGTTTAGTGTGAAATGATGCAAAATTTACCTCAAAATTTGGTGCATAGTTGGAGATGGCCTTACGGCACTAATTTATAACAAGGTGCAATATCAAAAATCATGTTTTCAAGTCCAAATTTGCTAAATTAGGCTTGTTTATTTTTAATTGGTAGGTTGATGGGAGAAAGAGGAGATAGATGAGAAAGAAAGATAGAGTGAATTTGTGAATTGCTTAAAAAATAAAAGCATACTCCCTTAAAAAAAATATTTTCTTTATTTTCAAGAAAAATATGATCACGTGACCAAAAGTAGGAAAATATTTTTCATGAAAAAAATATCAATCAAAAATCACAAAAATAGGAATTTGGGTGGAAAAATAATATTTTTCACGAAAAATATTGACACTCAAACGCACTCTAAGCTCATCGAACAAGATAGGTTCTTGAATGCGTAAAACAATTTTACAGATACTTTGAAGCCCTAATTTGAAAATTAGTTACGGCTTTGTTCAATAATTGCTTTTTATTTTTTCCTTTGGCATATCATGTAGCCACGTGGGGCAATTAAGGATGTTTTGATATAGAATTGTCATGGAGAAACCAGAATGTACCACAAACAATTAGCACTTCTGAAGAGTAATGTTTCGCATCCAAAACACATCCTTAACTTTTTGAAAATATAGCAAAACTCGTTGTTCCATCGTTTTGATCATATTTAAATGACTAATTTTTCCCTCTTCAAATAAAGGGGGGAAAAGCAACTAAATTAAAAATAGAGAAAAAATTACAATAGAATCACAAATCTTTTCAAAAATTATAAATAGATCATCGTCTTCTCCAACCACCCCATTCGGGCCATTCCCCCACCAAACCACCACCATTGCCCCAGCACATAATCCCACACAACCCCAAGCTTAGCCTCGTTTGATTTAGCCAAAATCAGATTTTAATAAAAGTTGATAAAATACGTGATTGAAAAAAAAAATGGACAAAAAAACTAGAAATGGGGGCAAAATATAAACTTAATTACTATGCTCTAGACGGTAGCCATGAAAGTTTTTATTCTTGTAAGGATTCACTTGCACTGAACTTGAAGACTCTGCACCTATAAGTCGGCACAAATTCAATGTGAATCTAAATGCTTTATTTCTCAAAAGTTAAGGAGTCTTCCTGTAAATTTCATAATTAGAAGCCTGACAACTGAACGACGATCCGCGTTCAGCTTTGAACTTTAGATGACAAATCTTCGTCCATGGCAGTAGAAGGTATTTTGATTTGGGTTGCTGGAGAACGCGGCATGTGTCACCTCGTACACCTTCCCTCAACGAAACCTATAATTAACCAAAAAAAATAAAAAAATAAAAAAAAAATAGAAGGACAGTGCGGGGCTCGCAACCCCAGCATGGAGAGTTCGATTCCTGGTTGGAGCAGCTGAGTGTTGTAATAACCAGAGGAAGGGTTGGAACAGTTTGGTGATGTAATAACCATGGAGGAGGATCCCTTGGGGCCAGGAGTATAAAGGCTGTTCGAACCCTGGTCAACTTGGGCACATCCCGCGATTTACCTCCTTGAGCTGCTGAGGGGCCGGAAGTTCAGGGACGAGGATATAGTCTGGCGTAAGTTGGGACACCTCGTTAAAAAAAAAAAAATATATATATATATATATATATATATATAATTAACCAAAAATAGGATATCCTAATTATCGATTTACATTATGGTTTTCACTAGACTCTAAAATTCGATTAACCTGAAATTTCTCCATTTTCTACGGATGAAGGTCTCGAAGAATAAAAAGGACCTTCTCCTCCGTCCGTTAATTTATCTTTTAAGTTTGCAGAGACTGTGGAGACTTCCATTTCCCATTATTTCCCGTCTCCATCTCTGGTACACATTTCCCTTCTCTCCTCTTCTTTTGGCTCTTTTTTTTCCTTAATTTTTTTTTTTTTTTTTTTTGTTTTTTGGATTCTCTTCATTAAGCCTATTTTTATTAAATTCCCATTTAATGTTGAAGTTAAGCCCATTTAATTTCAAAAGTCCAAGGCCCAATTTAATATAATGTTTCTCAAAAAGGCCTCCATGCTTTCTAATTAATGCAATTTAGTCCCGTGAGTCAATTTATTTGTGCAACTGCTGTCTTCTTTAATTTAATTCAATTCCTTCAATTTTCAAAGTATGGAATTTGAACGCCAAACTTTCCCTACAATGGTCAATTAATCCTCCCTTCTTTTCCAATTGTTTTGAAACGGGTCCATCACTGAAATAAATAAAAATTAACATATGTTAAGTTAAATTAAATAATTTGACGACATAAAAATTTATTAATAAGGTCCGAATAAGTACACAAAATACACTTTTCAAATCACACCGTCCCTCTATTTTTTTTTATTTTTTGTTTTTCTTCACCGAACTCCCTCAGCCTTTTGCCAGCTTAGCCTTCATGAGGCTGGTTTGAAACAATGGTGGGTCATGCAGCCCAACAGAGGAGAATAAAATAAAGTAAATGGAAAAATTGATGAGTACGAGATTATAAGATAGAAAATGAAAAATCAGGCCAATAATCAGAATTTGACAAAATCCTAGTATTACTCACAATAAACACAATTTTATTTAAAATAAAATGAGCCATGCTACATTATCATGGCCACCCGCGCACATGTGAGCGAAGGTCCTACACGTTAAGACACGTGGACGGTCTAGAACGAAAGAATCAGAGGCGTGAGAGTAGCTCAACGACGCGGGACGAGAACGTTCGTAATCCGACGGGATGTTCGTAATCCGATTGTACAATAATTACCAATCGGTGCTCATGAATGTAAATGTAAATATGTATAAACTCGTATTGTGTTGTAAGATAATATGAAAGAGAGAGTAAAGTGTGGTTTCTTGTATTGATTCTTGCATTAGTCCTTCAATGTTATACAAGAGAAGTATTTATAGTGTTATATGTGAAATGGCAACTCTTAGATGAGGTGGCACGTGGCCTCATTTCTTTAATTCAAACATCCAATTCTAGACATTATCCTTGACTTGCTAGCTTGCTGCGCATTTATTGCTTATGCAAAACCCCCATGCTAATGACAAGACTTGACATGTATTCTTATGACAAACGTTCCATCAATCATTCTAACAAGATCTTTACGTAGAAGATCTCTTGAGAGAAATGATCATGGAATATGTTCCTTCATGGTTTGGGGGCTTCTGCTTCAGCTACGGATTCAAGGCTTCTGCCACTCACGTAGTACTTTTGCTTTAGGGCTTTGGCTACCTTCACAGGCCTCGGCATATGGGCCTCGGCTTGAAGGGCCTCGGACATACAAACCACCTCGGCTGGAGCGTCACGTGGTTCACATTGAGTAGGTCATAGGCCCACATAGGTTGGTAAAGTTTGACAACAAGTAACAATGATCATGTGACCTTTGTGGCCAAAAAAGAGAAGGAATTGTTACTCGTAATATGGTGAATTTTCAGATTGTGACTTCCTGTATACATGACAACCAAAAATGAACATTTGTGACTTCGAGATTCTTCTTATTTTATCATTAATATAAATGTGACTCTAGAAGAATTAAGTGGTTATAAATGTTCGAATCGTTGAACTCTTTAATGGTATGTGATGGAACCTAAAATTGTGATTCATTAGTGGCGACTATAAAAAATTTATGTTGCGATTCAGCTAAAATTTTTGTGAATCAAATATTTTTCCAAATGTTGAGGAAATTTTATTGAATTCTGGTCCTATGTTACTTAACTCAATTTCGTGACCTGTAATTGATGTAATAAGGTCTCGTTTTGTGACAATTATAGTTTTGTGACCATAATGATTTTGATTTGGTGCCCATTATTTTCATGATCTAATTTTGGTGTTTGGTGGATATTATAATTGGGATATAATTAGAATTGATATACGTTTCCTATACATCATCGAAA